GCCTCAGGTTTGATTTTATTAATAAGAACTTTTAAGATTCATGCTACACCCCTCCCTATGAGGCCTTCAGGATGATCAGTTTAACAGGATACTACATGTAAGTGACAGAAACCAGAAGGTAAAGTTAAAGACAAGAGAAAAGAACAGACACTAAGTTTAGAGAGAGGCACGCACATCTGGAGGATCAAAAGAAATGTCCTCCTCGGTCAACAGGAGGACAGGGGGCTGGGCTGAGGCTACTGTAGGGTAGCTGGGTTGTAGCTGGACCGTGAGTGGAGTGAGGAGGTGGGGTCTTCCACGTGGGGCCTCAACCCCAGACTGTGACGGAAACAAACAGGTACTCATCTGAAACTACTTTAGTAGGACCTTGGATGAACCCCAGCAGAAAAATTTCTGCCAGGCTTGGTGGTGCATGCCTTTAATTCCAGTACTCAGAAAGCCCTGCGAGGCAGGAGGATTGCTCCAAGTTCAAGGCCAGTATGGTGGGCTGCTTGGTGAGTTCAGGCTAGCCAGGGCTATAGATTAAGACCCTATCTCAAAAAATAAAATGGATAAATTAAATAAAAAGAAAAAAGGAGAAAGGGAAAAAAATCTTTGTTTTTAGGGCAGTTATTTAGAGTAAAACTTGAGGAAAGCAAGTCATGGCAACTGGGAATTAGTGGAGGGAAAATAGCTAACGAGACCTTTGGGGTTCAGAAGGAAGGTACTTTATGAGCAAGAGGGGAAAAAATCCTCTTGCAAGAATGATAAAGGGAAACCAAGACTTGAAGTAGTTGATCAACACTTTGCTACAGCGTAAGTACATTTCATCCAGAGTAACCGGAGTTATGTGGGTCTGGGGATGCCTCCAAAAACATCTGCCTCGCCTGGCAGCATGCCAGCCCTGCAGCCTGGCACACCAGGCCCAGCCTAGGGCAGTGGTCCAGGGAACACTGCCACTCAGCTCCACGGAGGGACATTCACAGAAGACAACTGGGGACGGTGCTGACTAGCACTCTCCTGAATCACCCATGACTGAATAAACGAGCTGCTCAAGAACTCTGAGGGAACGGCTTAAACTCATGAAGTGACAGTGGCTGATTCACGGTGCCTTGCTGACAGGACAGCTTGTGAGTGTCTGAAACATTCTCTCTCTTCTACTTCTTACTCTTTTTTTTTTCTTTCTTGAGACAGGATCTATGTAGTGCAGGAGAGCATTGAACTCACTAGAGTGGCTGAGGATGAGCAGGAGCTTCCAATTCTCCTGCCTCCATTTCTTTTTTTCTTTTTCTTTTTCTTTCTTTTCTTTTTTTTCTTTTTTTTTTTGTTTTTCGAGACAGGGTTTCTCTGTGTAGCTTTGTGCCTTTCCTGGAACTCACTCTGTAGCCCAGGCTGGCCTCGAACTCACAGAGATCCGCCTGGCTCTGCCTCCCGAGTGCTGCGACTAAAGGCGTGCGCCACCACTGCCCAGCACCTCTATTTCTTAAGTGCTGGAATTATTGGAGTGTGTCACCATGACCAGCTATAATTTGAAAATTCTATTCCTCAACAATGCTATTTCCTTCTTTCTTTCTTTTTTTTTTTTTTTTTGGTTTTTCAAGACAGGTTTCTCTGTGTAACCCTGGCTGTCCTGGAACTTACTCTGTAGCCCAGGCTGGCCTCGAACTCACAAGAGATCTGCCTGCCTCTGCCTCCCAAGTGCTGAGATCAAAGGCTGCACCACCACCGCCCGGCAACAATGCTCTTTCTATAGACTCAAGTGACATCAACCCCTCTCTGAAGCAGAGGATCAGCAGCAGTAAACTCTGTGATGTGACCACATGCATCAACTCCTTCAACTTCTGCTTCTGTCTGTTTCTTCAGTACTAGGGATCAGAATCAGGGCCTTGCACACACCAGATAATGCCTTAAACATAAACTCCATCCAGTGAGATGGATGGCCCAGCTAAAGGCACTTGCCACCAAGCAGGACACCTGCCTCTGCCTCCCAGGTGCTGGGATTAAAAGTGTACACCACCACCACCTGGTTTCCAAGGCAACTCTTATTAGAGAAAGACTTAATTTAGGGCTTGCTTACAGTTTCAGAGGTTTAGCTCATTATCATGACAGGGAGCATGGTGGTAGACAGACATGGTGCTGGAGATGGAAGGGGAGGGGGAGGGGGAGAGACTGGGCCTGATGGGTTTTTGGAACCTCCAAGCCCATCCCCAGTGACACACTTCTTCCAGAAAGGCCACACCTCCTAGTCCTTCTCAAATAGTGCCACGCCCTGGTGACTAGGCATTCAATATATGAACCTATGGGGGCCATTCTTATTCAAACCACCACAGGCATTATAAATATTTTCTTTTTAATTTCTAAAAAATTTCTTTCTTTGTGTGTATGTGTATGCTGTGTGTGTGTGGGTGCTGTGCCTCATGCCTGAACGTGGAAGACAAGTTCTCTCTTCACCATGCAGGCCCAGGGACTGAACACAAGTTGTCAGGTGTGGCAGCAAGCACCCGTGCCCACTGAGGCATCTCAACAGCACTATCTTCTCCAGCTTCTCAACCTTGCTGACTACAGTAACAAACATCTAATGTCTTCAAATATTAAACAAAAATAGAGTAAGAGTGTTTTTGGAGAGTCAGTGAAATCTCAGCACTATAAACCAGCCATCTCCGGTACATCAAACAAAGCCTGAGGGGTGGCGCAGAACGGCGGCTCCAGGCGAGGCCTGCCCTGCTCTGCCCCGGCCTCCGAGGCAGTTCTCGGGCAGAGGCAGGCTATTGCTAGAACTAAGCCCCTAGCCCTCCTCCTTCTGGCAGAGATCCTGACACACTAATATGTGTTTTCAGCCTTGTAGGCTAGACTGCTGTAATTTGCTCCTCCTTGGGCTATACATTAAATTTGTTCAGAGGCTGTAAAATTGTTCATTTGGTAGCAGCTGAAATGACTTTTCTGCAGAGTTGCGAATCGCTAAGACTCACGGGCCGTGAAGTGCACACACCAGCACAGCCGCCGCTGCCGGCAGCAGCCCCGACCCCAGGGCTTATCATAGCTGGGGACAGAAAAGGCTAACACTGGTGTGCTGGAGCCTCCAATGCTCACGCGTTTAAAGGCTCTGTTGACTGACAGGGCTTAAGCCAAGTTTCCTCAGGCTTCCTTACCGGGACCTGTTCTTGAGTTCCCAGGCTGTGAATACCACACTTTATCCTTTGCATTTTGCTTGCTTGCCCCCTTAGAAAAGAGGAAGGCTGATAAACTTGGATTTAAAACCAACAAACGAAGCCAGGAGGTGGTGGCGCACGACTTTAATCCCAGCACTGGGAGGCCGATGCAGTAGGGTCTCTGAGTTTCAGGCCAGCCTGGTCTACAGAGTGAGTTCCAGGACAGCCAGGGCTACACAGAGAAACCTTCTCTCGAAAAAATTAAAAATTAACTAACTAAATAAAAATAAAACCAACAAAATAGTTTTTGTTTTGTTTTTTTTTTTTTAATTCGAAAAACTGGTACATGGCTGGGCACCATGCTGTAGACCTGTAACCATGGCACTAGGGAAGGAGCAGAAGGAGCCTGAGTGGGAGACTAGCTTTGGCTATACTTGAGTTCAGGGGCAGCCTGGGCTATATAGCAAGGTGGTGGTGGTGGTGGTGGCGCATGCCTTTAATCCCAGTACTCAGGAGGCAGAGGTAGGCAGGTCTCTGTGAGTTCGAGGTCAGCCTGGTCTACAGATTCAGATTCAGTTCCAGGACAGCCAGGGTTGTTACACAAAGAAACCCTGTCTTGAAAAAGAAAAAGAAAAAAAAAGAAAAAGAAAAAAAAAAGAAAAAGAAAGAAAAAGGAAAAAAAGAAAAAAAGAGGAATAAGCAAATAAAACATTGATTAAGTTTCTTTCAGAATACTTTTTCTTCCTTAAAAAATTATTTTTTTAAAATTTTATTTATTTTTTTTAAGATATATTTATTTATTATGTATACAGTGTTCTGTCTGCATATATGCCTGCAGGCCAGAAGAGGGCACTAGATCTCATTACAGATGTTTGTGAGCCACCATGTGGTTGTTGGGAATTGAACTCAGGACCTCTGGAAAAACAGCTAGTGCTCTTAACCGCTTAGCCATCTCTCCAGCCCCTATTTGTGTTTATTTTTATGTAGAGTACTTTGTCTGCATGTATACCTACAGGCCAGAAGAGGGCATCAGATCCCACTATAGATGGTTGTGAGCTGCCACGTGGGTGCTGGGAATTGAACTCAGGGCCTCTGGAAGAACAGCCAGTGCTCTTAACCTCTGAGATTTTTATTTTTATTTTTTTATGTGTACGGGTGTTTTGTCTACATGTAAGCCTTTGTACCACATGCATGCAGCATCCAAAGAGGACAGGAGAATGAACTGAATCTCCTGGGACTGGAATTTCAGATGGCTGTGAGCCTGCCTCCATGTGGGTGCTGGGAGTTAACTCAGGTCCTCTGCAAGAGCATCCAGTGCCCTTAACCATGAGCCATCTCTCCACCCCCTTTTATTTTCTAATATACTCTTTGTGTTCACTTCATAACTAAAGATAAAAATCTTTTTGGTTTTGATGCTGGGCCTTAAGCATTTGAGGCAAGTATTCTACAACTTATCTACACTCCTTGATTATGACCTTTGTTTGTTTATTTAAAATTTATTTATGTGTACTTGGGTGCCTTCATGATTTTATGTGCACCACACACATATGTGTAGGGGCTGGTGGAGCCGAAGGTGGCATCAGATGCCCTGGAACTGGAGTTACTGGCACTTGTGAGCTGCTGTGTGGGTGCTGGGAACTGAATCCAGGTCCTCAGAAAGATCCAAAGTGTTCTTAACCACTGAGCCATCTCTCCAGCCTGAGATTTTATTTTTGGCTCTTTGAGATAGGCTCTCAGTGCCCTGGAGCTCATTATATAGACCATAATAGCCCAAAATTATAGTAATCCTCCTCCTTTTGCCTCTTAGCTACAGATGTCTGCCATGATGACTCCTGGCTAAAACTTTTTTTTTGAGACATTCTCTGAAGCCCATGCTGACCTAGAATTTACTATGTGATCAAGTCTTTTTCAATCCTGATACTCCTTCCTTTACCTTCCATGTGCTGCAATTACAAGCATATACCATCACACTCCATGTGCCATGCTCTGGGTTCCATCCTTAGCACAATTTAAAAAAAGTGTGTGTGTGTGTGTGTGTGTGTGTGTGTGTGTGTGTGTGTGTGGTGTCTAAGTAATGATGATTTAGGCCTAAGAAAGATGATTGAAATGTGTGTATATATACACTTAAAATTGTGGTAGGATATACATGGCATAAAATATACCTTTGTATCCTTTGTTTTTTAAGACAAGGTCTCTCTTCAGACTTGAGTTCAGATGAGTGCTGGTGGCGCATGCCTTTAATCCCAGCACTCGGGAGGCAGAGCCAGGCGGATCTCTGTGAGTTCGAGGCCAGCCTGGTCTACAGATCGAGATCCAGGACAGGCACCAAAACTACACAGAGAAACCCTGTCTCGAAAAAAAAAAAAACACAAAAAAACAAAAACAAACAAACAAACAAACAAAAAGACTTGAGTTGTCCTAGAACTCACTATGTTTCTGCCTCCCAAGTGTTGGGATTAATCATTTCATTTAATTTCTTCTTCTTTTTTTTTAATTGACCATTTTAAAATGTAAAGTTTGGAAAGCACATTTACATTGTTTGCATCTACCCCCAGAACGGTTCTCATCTTACAAAACTTGTCTCTGTACATTAGGCAAAGCTCGCTCTTGGCCCATTCCCAGCTCCAGTAACCATTGTTCTACTTCCTATCTCTGTGAGTTGGACTATTCTAAGTACTTCACACGCATGGACATTCTTGTATATGTATTTGAAATCCGATTATTCTTAGACAATATAGACTTTTCTTAGAAACAAACCTCAGCAATGTATACATTTCTATCTCCCACAGCTGCTGTAATGGTTTAATAGTCCACTTGACATATTCTAGAACCACCCAGGAAGAGAGTCTCAATGAGGGACTGTCTGATCAGGTTGGCCTATGAGCACATCTGGGGGGTCTGTTATGATTACATTAATTAAGGTGGGAAGGCCTGCCCTTTGCGGCTCCTGAGTTTGGGTCCTGCACTGTGTGGTACAGGGAGGGAGGGGCTCAGCACAAGTCGGCCCTCTCCAGCCTCTGCTCGCTCTTTGCTCTTGACTGCAGATGGGACTCCTGCCTCATGTTCTTGCCTTTACTTCCCTGCGATGATGGAGTATAACCTGGAACTGGGAGCTAAAATAAACGTTCTCTCTCCCAAGTTGCTTTCAGTCAGGGCATTTGATCACAGCAGAGACACGAAACTGGGACAGCTATTTCCATTTCCTTGGGTGGCGGCTCCTGGAGCCCCGCAAATGCTCACCTGTGTAGGTGTGATGTGGCTGATGTCTTCAGATGCAAGCTGCTTCAGCAGGGTCGTCTTGCCGGCATTGTCCAAGCCCAGGAGAAGGATTCGCACCTCCTGGTCTGGTGCACTTTTCAATTTGCGCAAAATAGAGAGCAAGCCCTTGAACAATCATGAGAGAGACGGATTACTCGGGGCAGTGACTTCGGCGTTAGTGGACATCAGAATGACTTTTGAACAAGGTTCGCGGCTATGGACAGCTTCTTTCTTTCCACTCTAATGTTGTTTGTTCCACCTGCTCCTTCCTTCCAAGTTTTAGCAGAAGTGTAGGAAGATGCAGCAATTTGGTAAGCAGCATGGCTTATTCCTGCTCCTCCCACAGTCGGGCGGAGCTGTCATCCCAGATCTTCTGCAAGTGTGAAGTGCTACCCACCCGTGCTCCTCAAGCCCTCGATGGACACTTAGACTAGCACGATTATCGTATCAGACCAGGTCACTGCTCACATTTCCCCATTACCAGAGCGAAGCTTCTTGCCACACAGACAGATACCAGAATTACATGCCCAAGTTAATACAGGACTCTAAGGTTGTGATTGTACCAACAGGGCTCACGCAAACATTATGAATGTCCCTGAAACCCACTGGACTCTCCAGGACTGTGTGGCAAGCACCATCCCCACAAAGTGACAGGATAAGAAGGGCAAGGGTTCTGTGCTGGGGAGAGTGATGGGACGACAGGAAACAGATGCCACCAAGGTGGGCAGACCAAGCCCGTCCTGAGCAAGAAGGCTTCAACTACAAAGAGCACTGTGCTGAAGTTGAGCTCCTAGAGCGCCACTGTAGATCAAAGAGAACCCTGGCTATGAATAGAGATTACAGATTGTGAACTGGGAGGTGGTTAAGAGGAGAAAGGGCTAAGTGATGCAGATCAAAGCCCAGTTTTTAGGACGATGGTAAGATCACAAGAGTCTGGTCACTTGAAGAGAAGATTTTCGAGGCAGGGTTTCTCTGTGTAACCCTGGCCATTCTGGGACTCCCTCTGTAGACCAGGCTGGCCTCAAACTCACAGAGATGCGCCTGCCTCTGCTTCCAGAGTGCTTTTTTTTTTTTTTTTTTTTTTTTTTTGGTTTTT